TTCTGCTCTCCACTGTCTCCGATGAATCCTCTCACCCCCTACACCCCATGCCTGTATGTTATTTTAAAAAGAGCTGATTAATAGTTATTCAGTATGAAAAAACATACAAAGGGTCCCTCCCTGGTGGCGCAGCGGGTTAAAGCACAGCACTGAGAAGCTAAAGCCACTTCCGCATGAGTTCGATTCCCGCCTGCCCCGGAGGTGACCACATGGCGCGGCAGACCTCTCCTGACCCGCCCGCTGCTCCCCTCAGCAGTGTACTTCGTCAATCTGCCTGTTCTGCTCCTCACTCTGTCTCTGGTGAAGCCTCTCACCGCCCCTGAGCCTCTGGCCTGTGCCCCAGTTCTGTATGTACAAAAAAAAAAAAAACATACAAAGAAGGTACAAATTTGAATGAATGAAAAGGAAAATCTGGTTACTTCAATGTAAAGTAGGAAAGAAGAAAAAAAAAGCATAAACTTGATACAAAAACAAAAAAAATTGAGTGATAGAATACAAATCACAAAAACACTAAATATAAACATTAAACTATCTGATGAACCTACCAGAGCACAATTACACTGGTTTATACAGATATAAACTGAAGTAACTGGTTTTCTCTAGCAGATTAACCTATCAATATCCATATCCATATTTATATTCTGAAGGATATAAAGTACAAAAAGATAAAAGTATGGAAAATATTAGCCAGTGTAAGTCTAAAGCCAAAAAAAATAGATTTTATAGTTTGTCATAAAAAAAGGAAATACAGATCAAACAGATGAACAACCATAAATGTGTATGTACCTATTAATAGGACTTAAAATATGTTTACAAGTTAATATAATTATAGAAATAAACAATACAGTTAGGTATTTTAACACACAAATGTCCAGTGATAGGTTCAATTAAATGAAAACAAGCAAAGGAATGTTTTGGAAAATATTTGCATATTTTAACTATGGTCTAGGGCCAAGAATTACAAAAAACATACATATTTTTTCAAATACATAGACAACAAATACCAAAATTTATCATTAAATTTTAGATAACTGCCATCATGTACTCTAGTTTATATTATTGCTGTAGTATGAAAGTAGAGATGACTAACAAAAGTTATCTTTTCTATGATGGCACTAGAATTTTGGTGTTGGGTAGGTGAAGCTAAACACATACCGATACAAGTCATGAAATAATATAGTACTGTAAACCAGTGATAACAATAAACTTTTATTTAAAAAGTACTCCTTTTATAATGAATTAAAACTCAAAAGTTTCTGGTTAGGAAAATATTAAAGCTGAAAGAAAAGAAATGCATAATATAGGAATTTCATTCTAGGGTTGGTAAGAATATACGGGATAGAAATAAAACAGCACAAGTGTAACAGAAAATTCTGATGGATTTGACCACTTTCAAGTTAAAAGACAAGGAAGTCTGCATAAAAAGTTAACTTGTAAATGTCTCATTGTTTATAATAAGGCATTCTCATCTAGAATATAGAAAGGACTCCAGTAAATCACAGCAGAAATAGCAATACAGGCAAACATGTAAATGGGTAATTTACAAAAACAGGTAACTTAGAAATTAAAAGGCTATACCAATTTGAAGTCATAAGAAAAATGAGTGCTAAGAAATTAAAGAGCTAGAGTTTACAAATAAGCTGTCACCAGACTTATGCACTCCCCAACTACTAGGAATCGGATTCAACTCTCTTAGATGGCAAAATAGACTGTGTAGTTTTAACCCACCATAACTTTGATCTTGTGGAAAGGATGTACGAAAGGGCAGTCCCCAGGCAAAGGGGAGTTTCCAGGTTCCCTACCGGACACTTAGGTGGAGCTGAGAAGGCCTTACTGGGGAACATGGAAGGAAATGCTTAAAAGATGTGGATAAAAGACCCATGGGGAGGTTAACAATGGCATTTAACCTGGTCTTACTCACTAGGGTATGTTTTGACTTGATTCAGTAGATGGCAGACGCTATTTAGAGCATGTGGCTTGAGGGCCCTCACCCTGCCCTATAACAGAAGGACTCTAAAAACCAACAATTTACCTATCTTAACATCAAGATTGATCAGTAACTCTGTTTTAGTTGTCTAAGCCCCTACTAACCATGAAGCCTATTTCATTTTAAGCCTTTCTAAGTCCAAATTCCTGTTACCTATATAATTTCACAATGCCAAATTACAGAGACTCAGTCTTCCAGAATTTTTCATAAATCAACAGTACTTTAATGCCAGCTAGTTGTTTGGATCAAAAGAGAGATTTGAGAATCTTCTATATTTTGAAGTATCAAATCAATAAATGAGAAATGTAAACCTGGAAACTTTCATAACATTTTTAGTTACTATAAAATTCAATTACACTACTAGGAAGTTTTCTACACAATGTAAAATGTATGCAATTTGCACAATGTCCAGTTCAAAACCAAAGGCAGAACCTTAAGTTTTTTTTAGCAAACTTCCTTCTTACTCATAAAACCCTTATGCAGCCATACGTCACTATTTCTAGGCAAACTTTTATCTCTATTCTTAGCCATGCTAAATAATTTCATACAGCTATTATAATGAGTCAATACAGTTGGAACTGGCTTAGTCACCACACACCAAATGGCCTGAAGACACCAACTGCCTAGTACTAAAGAACAAGCCACCCAAAAAAGTATCCATGTGCAAATTAATGCAGAAGAGTAAGGCATTATTGCCAGAGGTAATATGTTTCACAAGCATCTCTAAAGCTAATGACTTGAAATAGGCTGAAGATGTAAGTTGCTATCCTATGGGTAATTTGTATCATTAATGTAGTAGATCAGCATGTAGTAGCACTGCAGTATCTAGAGCCTATGGGTGTCTGTTTACAAGTACAGAAGAGCAATATCTAATTCAAAAACTACAAACCAACTTCTACTGTCAGATTCAGAAGCATATAGTTCTCAAGTTTCTGTCAGAAATACACGTTGAAAAGTTGCTAAACCTCTTCATTCCGTGCATCGTAATACTGATAACTGGTAATGATATTGATAACTGGATGATCATAAAGAACCTGATTAAATTATGCACAAGCTGTGAAACAAACTATCAGCCCTTATAGCTTGGACTTTATGACATCATTGATTTCACATATTAGAATGTTAGTTTCATGCTATCCCAACAAATTACACATCTGAGAAGCATTTATGTAAGTGAAAATTTAGAAGCATAACTCCTTCAATTACCCAGCTGATTCACTAATTCATTCAACAAACATCTACAAGCACCTTTTAGGTGCCATAGGTAAAGTGATAAAAAGTACTGATACATCATCTGATGTTGTAGAACTTTTGAATAAACCTAGATGACAGATTGGTGGATGTGGGGATTCTTGTCTATTTACTTGAAGGTGTTATATCTGAGAGGATTAACAAGCATAACTTTGATTTTCTCCATTTATCATCATTTCCCTTTATATTTTAGAGTTATACCTGCTAACACTTACATATTCAGGGGTTCGCAGATAGTTTCAAATAACAGAATGCAAAACCCTGCTGGAAAAACATAACCAACTGCACATTCTCACACTTCATTTTACTCCCTTTTTCTTCAACTTTTGGAATAGCTAATTATTTCCACTTTGAAAAACCAAGTCTGTGTACCTCAAGGCATTCATTTTACCATGATTTTTAGGAAGAAGATCATAACCCAATGTTTGATTGTCTAAAGGCCTAGAGATAAGAAAAGAGAACACAACTTAATGAGATCAGAGAGGAGTGGTGTCAGGGACAGATTATATGGACCAAGTTGCCTGCTTCAGAACTGTGGCACCAGAGGCAAAGTTGCAAGGACCCGTGACTCCGCCTCATGAGAGCACTGTGCCCTTGAACATAAGGTCACAACCACACACCTATACCAGTTCCCTCATTTCCACTGTCCTCAGCCTTTCCTATACCACATTCCAATGCAGCTCCAACTCTTCATACGTTAACTTATTTTAACCTTTAGGCTGAGTCTTTATCACATTTAAGTCACTGGGCTAGATGCTGCAGAAATACATTCTGTTCCCATGCAGAGTACGCACTAAAAAGGAAACTGATAAGAAAATAATAAATGAGTGAATAATTCCTTTGACAATAACTACAAAACAGAAAGAGCATACATTATGCTATATTGCCATATACCACATATCTTGATAACAAATTTTAATTATATTTCAATTTTCAAGATATTGTTATCTTCAACAAAGTGGAACACTTTGGAGGCATCAAAGAAGCTTAGATGGAGTCAAAGACAGGAATTAATACACTCCAAACATGATTATCAATTTACTCCTGAAATACAGTGTGTGTGTGTGTATGTTGGGAGACATGGAAGAGATGTGCAAATAGGGTTGAGCAGGAGGAAGAGATCAAAGAAAAAAATGAAGGGTAAATAAATAAAATGTTTCCAACAATTAAGGTAATTGTGCTCAAGACTTCAGATTTCAGATTTTCTAGATTGATACAACTAGCCTTTCTGAGTAATTAGGACCATGTAAATGTAAATACATAGACTCTGCTAATTTGCCTATTATTGTATATTTATACCTTTCATCTAGCTTATTTAGAAGTTTTTGTACTCTCATAGAAAACAGGTTTGAAATTTTATCAGGGTTAAAAGATACAGCTGTTTCTCCACCATTCCAAGTCATGTATCAATTTTATTGCACTTTTACTGACTTTACCATGCAAGAAAGGGAAAGATTTAAAATAAAAACAATCAAGTACAATAGTGCAAATACTTCTCTGACTTAAATGCCATTTTTGAAGTAGAAATTCTTGGTTCATTCCTTCTGAATTTGATTAGATACCCACACCTTATTTTTTGTCACTTTCAAAAGTGTCAGGGGAAAAATACAGAAAAGAAAAAAAAACCTTCTTTCCAAGATTGGGGGTGCTTTTCAGTCACAAACTCTAAAATACAGTCAATCTCCCATTATCTAGTCAGTACTTCTAAACAAATGGATGTGAACATACACTTCAAAAAGTCCCAACCGGACACAATCCTTACCTGCATTTCTTGACAAAAGGAAGCCAGTGGCCCAAACAGAATCTGACATTGTTCATCAGCAGTGTATGTCATCCCTGGCAACTTGGAGGGAACCATCACAGAATTGACACTCTGGGGATTTGTCTGAAGCAAGCAGTTACTGGCCTTGGACCTGGCAATATGCAGAAAGATAAAAATTTGAATTTGAAATAAAAAGTTGTGATAGTTAACTAGCATAACAATAAAGAGCTTTAAAATATGCTCTTACATTTATTTGTTAATGCTTCTATTGAATGCTCATAGAAATTATGCATTTGTAAGAATAAGTTAAGATACTCCCAGTCATAATAAATATGTTCAAGTTAACAGAAAGTTTTGGTTTATTGGGGCCTTTCCATATGGATTAATTTAGCACATAACACTGAGGTGGATTTTTATTGCACACATTTATAAGAAGAACTAATTCAGACCCAGAGAGCAATGTGCCTGAAAATAATTTATGAAGATAGGAAAACAACTATATTCAGGAATTTTTTTTAAGATTTATTTATTTATGCATACAGAACTGGATATAGGCCAGAGGAGCAGGGAGGTGAGAGGATTCACCAAGGAGAGTGGGGAGTAGAATAGGCAGATCAACGAAGTACACTGCTGAGGGGAGCAGTGGGCGGATCAAGAGAAGTCTGCCACACATGTGGGCCACCTCCCTGGCCAGGAATTGAACTCATGCTGCAGTAGCTGCAATTGCTTCAAAGTGCTACGCTTTAACCCATTGAGCCACTAGGACTTTAATGAAAATATAAAAGAGATTCTTCAGTGAGCATTAAAGTATGTTTTTATACTCGACCACTTAATACAATTCTCATTTATGAAATGGCATTAAGTTTATCAGAGTTTTAAAGTTACTCATTCCTGCTGGATTTTTCCCATGTAGACAGATGATCTATATGCTATTACTAAGTTTTCTATATATTTTTTTCTCTTATGAAGGGAAAAAAAATTTTTAACAGAGTTCTGATTTACGTGAAGGTAGCCACACAAAATTATGTATGTTAATAGGACTCTTTAGAACCTATTGAAGGATTAACAGTCCCAGTAAAATCCTGTGCTCAATTATGTATATTAGATATCAGGGCAAAGAATATTCACAAAAACACACTGTACATATTAATAGTAGCATAGCAATAGTAACATAATAAACATTATATATGTATCTATCAGTAAATTCTAATATTTATGTAATAGAAAATATAGCTTGGTCAATTGAAACTGCATGGAAACATTTATAAAATCTACTTGTGAAGTGAATTTAGCTAGTTAGGAAGTGTTCTTACATTTCTTATGTAAATTACTGGATAGATTAAACAACTCCTCATACTCTCACATTTTCACTTTCTTTAAAACCACTTTGCATATTGCCTATTCTCTCAGCTGCTACTTATATGGTTAGAGAGAAAAGGATGGGGGCTCTCTCGGGTAGTGCAGCAGGTTAAAGCACAGCACTGCAAAGCTGGCCGCTGCCTCTTCGGAGTTTGATCCTCAGCACCACAGGTGACCTACGTGGCACAGCAGACCTCTCCTGCCTTGCCCACTGTTCCCCTCAGCAGTGTACTTCATCGATCTGCCTGTTCTGCTCCCCACTCTGACTCTGGTGAATCCTCTCAACGCCCCTGCACCACTGGCCTATACCCCAGTTCTGTACGCATAAATAAAAATAATCTTTAAAAAAAGAGAGAGAGAGAGAGAGAGAGAAAAGAATGGAACTAGGACTTTAAGGTGAAAATAAAACTACAATATTTTTCATTTCTCCCCCCAATTCACTGAAGCTAAGTGTCACTGCTATTAAAAGTCCAAAAGCAAATGTAGGACAATCATCAGTGATACTTATCATTGACAAAAATGTTTATAGAGTATAGAAATATCACAATGGAAAGGTAGAAATTTGGTTAAAGAGGTTCTTTGTAATAACAGATGCAATGAACAATGAGAGAACTGTCACTAGAAAATCTTGAAGATGTGACTAAATATCATCACACATCTTTTCATCCTAATTTTTCCATTTTACAAATCTGCTTGCCCATTAATTCATTTAGAAACTGTGGAAACTAAGAAGCAGATGGGTTAAAGGCTATGTCCCAATTCACAACATGAGTCAATGGAAGCACTAACATTGCAAAACAGTGCTTTGTGGCAGAATCTAGTTTATTACCTTTCTTGGTTTGTAGCGGAAACATGCACATTTACAGTGAAACAACAGCAAGCGACCTTGGTACCTGAGAAATCTTTCCAAATCTTCCTTACTACATCGAGACCATGAAACATCACCAAGGTTTTGTCCTTTAATCCATTCTCCAGACATGATATGGAGACCGTCAGCACAGGATGGGTGGTCGTTGTCATGGTTGATGCCCATGCTGATTCAGAATTAAAATTAGGAATCACATTAAGTCATTTAATGTCTCATGGCTAGAACTAAGTAACAGCTAACGAAGTTTAAAAATAGGAAATTAGTTTTTCAAGTCAGAAAAAAAATTAGGTTTAAGACTTTTTTTCAATTTTTATCCTGATGTTAAATATATTCATTCAATAAAAAAAAAATCACCAACAAAAAAATCACATGTAGCTCACCTGTATTAAAATGATCTACTGACATATTTCTCATATAGAAGTGAATATGAAACATATACATAGAAGTTTCTATTTAACATACTAGAGCCTTACTCTTGCTTGGAGATAATTTATTAATATTTTTATCAAATCTGAAACAACATAATTATTACTCATCTTCTACTATGTTTTGCCCATATGCTTCATTGGACCAAACCATCGTCTACTTGTCATCATCTGTTACACACTATCCCTGGGAAATCTTGATATTCTTGGTCATCTTTGTATTTTCTAGTGAATCTTGAATGTGCTGTCTTAAATTAGAAATCTCAAATTTGATGTCACTGAAAGGATGTGATAGTTTGTTTAAAAATGACCCACTTTTGAGAACTCTACTATATTGTTTGTGTGTGTGTGTGTGTGTGTGTGTTAAGGTTTATTTATTTATGCATGCATAACAGGAGTACAAGCCAGAGGTACAAGGGTGGTGAGAAGCATCACCAAAGACAGAGTGGGGAGCAGAACAGGCAGATGGATGAAGTATACTGCTGAGGGGAGCAGCAGGCGGGTCAGGAGAAGTCTGTGACGGGGATCAAACTCGCACTGAAGCAGCTGAGGGCTGCTTGCAGTGCCACCAGAGAGGACCTTGTCTGTGTTTGTGTGTGTGTGTGTGTGTGTGTGTGTCTGTCCTTGTTAGACATCAATCTGCAAAATCAGAAATCAAGTCTTCCTTCATTCCTTCCTCTCTGAAGCTATTTTATTTAATGGTAAGGGAAAACCCTACCCTTTCAACTCCTTTCAATTTCTTTTGCTATTATTAAACACTGACTCATCTTGCTAAGATCCTGGCATATTGGAATCATACTCTTGTAAATGAGGTTTAAGTGCTGAACCTACTCATCATACAATCACTTCTCTTTCAGTAAAAAAAACATATGATATCCTATGAATTTTTAAAATAAGGGCATTAGTATATTCATAGGTAGGATTACTAGTGAAGAAGCAGAGTCGTTTAGTTTTGTACATGCCTAACTTGAGCTCATGGCAAGAGAGTCAAGTATGCCTACTTCTCAGTGTGTAAAAATCCAGACAATATATTAAGTGATCTTTACTATCAAAAAAAGGTGAACAAGAATATCTATACTATATCTATACTATATTAATGATTTAAATCATTAATAAGAGAATTGATATAGAAATCAGTAAATTAAATGTAGGTATTACATTTTCTAAAAAAATAAAATTTATCAGTATTACACAACAACTTCATTTTGATTAAAAATGTGACTTCAAAAGTGACACATTTAACATTATGAAGAATTAAAATTCACTGTATTTTCTGTTACTATGAAAACTGTTTAAAAATTGCCCAGAAAAAAACAAAAAATACACCAATGAATATGATTTTTCACTTTCAGGGTTAGAAAAAATCAGCTATATGATGAATCCTATTACTCTTTCCAAGTCTAGTTAATATCATTAAGTAGGTTTGTAGTAAACCATTAATAGAATGACAGATAAGGATAAATGGTTTTCATACTCAGTAGTTACAGAAGTTATAGAATAAAAGTAAGAGATGATGTGATCCAGGTCAGTTACTCAGAATAGAGTAACAGATGTCAGAATCAGAAAGAGCTCTAATTCTACATTTTTTCCTTTATTCATGTGACAAGAGGAAGTTAAATTATAATAAGGAAATAAATGTGACTCAGTTTCCTCATTTTAAAAGTATATTTCCCTGGCGGTGAGGATTACATGAAGGTGTTATTAGATGCCTGGCACAATGCCTGGAATACTATTGAGAACCCGGATTACCCTTTTTATTGGGGTAGTAAGCCTGACAAACTGAAAGAAATCAAGGAAATTCTTTAAAAAAAAAAAGCACCCCATAATGATAAACATCACTAGAAATAATTTGCTGTGTTTCCTTCCTGTCTTTGGCAAAATGTGGAATGGAGAAAGAAACAAGTAATAATGGCAAGAATTTGCTTTAGATGTTAAATTTAAAAAGAAACTGTACATGTGGCACAATCTCATAGATTGAATGAGATGCCTGAATGCATTTCTAACTGTAGGGTTGGTGAAGTCCCTGCCAACACCACTATCTCACCACCACCCTGGATTCTGGCTGCAGCTCAGTTTCTGGGTGACCCTGTTATGTCAAGTCACTGCCATGTGGAACACACTCAACTGTTCCATCTGTGGTGGAGCAATCTTTCAAACCATACACAAATGCTATTATTTTTGAGAGGCAACTGGTCTTTTTCAGAAGTAATAAAACTTCTTAAATAATGTGTCCATTTGAGAGGAGAAGAACTGTTTCCAAGATTTAGCAATTTGGACATTTTCCCAAAATAGTGTAATGTGATTTTCCAAATTGGGAAGATTACAACTTCTCATCCAGATGATCATTTTCCTTTTGGGATGCTGATTCTCATGTAAGGAATTAGCTAGAGCCATGCAGAAACCTGGTGATTCAAGCATTGTTTACCATTAGTGAAATTTTCCTAAAGCTGTTTAATTTGTAACAGAAGATATCATTAAATTGGGACAGGGATTTTTCTTTTTTCTTTTTTTCTTACTTTGCCACACATCTGGAACTATCAAGAAGACATTGCTTAGTAGTGATCTCACAGATATCAACTAAAGCCTTTATCTGTGCCAGCCATTATATTAATCACTTACAATAATGATATCATTTATCCTCACAGTACCCCCATTATGTTTCTATTATTATGGCCTCTATTTTCTCAGCGAGGGGGGTTGTCAGTGTAATGGTGGGGCGATGGCACAGATGCAGACAATCTGGTGGTCACACAGCCCTGTAAACCACCAGAATGCTTCTCGTTCTCTGGATCAAAACCCTCCATCTAAACATATGATTTATTATTTTGTGAAAATTTTTAAATGTCTCCTCTCTTTTAGAAGTAATGTGCCTCTATATTTCTAACACTTTAACGAAATTGCACACATCAAATGGAAAACATTCTCCAAGTGAGACATGAGCAACACCTCTGTTCACACCGTGCAACTGAGCTGCATTTTAATAATCTCAGTTTAAATTCATTTTGACAAAGAGCCTTGGGCAAATAAACTCTCCACTAATATTGTACATGGTTGTCAAGTCAACTGAAAAAATATTTTTATCTTATAAAACTTCTCAACTTGTTTAAAAGTCCCTGCCAGGAAGTTTTGTGATATCCTGCGGAAAGCTGGAGAAACATTTGGATTGTGAAGATGGTCCTTTTTGATGTTTAAAGAGTCAGGGAGAGGACATTAATGAACTCACATCTTCTGGGGATAATTTGGAAAGGATGACACTTGTAAACACTAATATTTTAAAAGAGTAAACTATTTTGTGCTGGATGCATTCAAGATTTTGTCATGGTATATTATTTCCAATCAAAACACATATATTCTATGGAAAAATAATTTTAAAAAGGAAACGTCACAATTTCTAGCTAGACATAGATAATATTTCTATGAGATGACAGTTTTCACACACTATAGTGACTGTATCAGAGTTGACACAACTTCACTACTGTGTACTCATGGGGATAATGCCCAACATTGAGAAATATTAAATGCTTTTGTTACTTTTTATATTTTAAATCATTTCAGTTTGCACAAAAGCTTAAATACCTACTTCTGTTAGTGAAGCCAAAGGCAACATAAAACAAGTCAGCATAAGGTGAAGATAAATGATAGGGTCAAAATAAAGTAGAGATACTACAACAAACAAACAAAAACCACCAAGATCTCTTTTGAATTTTCTACATGATATGTAATAGATTACACACTAATAATTCAACACTTGTTGAGAGCCCAAGATGTGCTGGGCACTCTACTGCTGAACAGTCATAACAATGAGTAAGATAGATACGCTTCCTTGTCATAAGGAGTTTACTAATAACTGGGACTGCGACTCTGTTCTTTGCCCTCTCTTAGCTAATAGATGCCTGGGTCCTGTCAATTATGTTTTTGTTACCTTCTTTCCCCTCACTTCCCTTTCTACCACTACTCCTGTCAATCAAAACAAGTTGTTTCCCTTTACCTCTGGATTGTAAGATCTGCCAGACTGATTTTCTGACTTAATACTTGGCCTCATTAAACCATGCTTTAATTACTATAATTTGTTCTGAGTATATTAAAACAAAAGAGCCAGTTTCCTAGGAAAACTCTTTTTATCTTCTTTGGCAAGCAATGAAAGTAAAAACGTTAATAATGAAACGCATGCATATGTCAGAATTATAGGATGTGAGGATGTTGGCTGGAGAAAAATACGGATTCCAGCGATCTATCCCAACAGATCAAAAGAGGTTATTCTGAAAAGTTGCATTTTAACACATATCTAAGTGATGTTTTTAAAGATTCATTTATGTATGCATAGAAGAGCTGGGGTATAGGCCAGAGGTGTGGAGAGGTGAGAGGATTTGCTAGAAGCAAAGTGGAAAGCACTTCAGGCAGATCCACTGCTAAGGGAGCTGTGGGTCAGACAGGAGAGGACTGCCACACCATGTGGGTCAGCTCCCTGGCCCAGGATCAAACTCATGATACAGGGACTGTATATAGTTTGACAGTGCTGAGACTTAATGCCTTGTGCCATCAGGGAGGCCCTAGTATAGGTGACTTTAATGCAAAATTATGAGCCAGGTATAGGGTGAATACAAAATATTTACCCTGGTTTTTTTTTTTTTTTTTAAAGATTTATTTATTCATATAGAACTGAGGTACAGGCCAGAGATGCAGAGGGTGAGAAGATTTACCAGAGACAGAGCGGGGTACAGAACAGGCAGATCGGTGAAGT